GTGTCAGCCAGTTAGACCATTCACCAAGAGACCACACATCAGGTACACACTGCAATGACCTGGACAGAGAAATGAGCAGGTTTGAGACACACAGATATAAATAAATACACGGTAAATATTAGATAAGAAATATATAAATAATGATTTGGAGGTAACACTTCCATAAAGTGGTTCTTTGTCTACCTGATTCCTAGTCAAATTGGAATTTGGAATATTGGTTTTTGAGAAGAGGGGAAAACTGGAGTACCCAGAGAAAAACTTTTGGAGCAAAGGAGAGAACAAACAAACTCAACCCACAAAAGGCATCCATGCCAGGATTTAAACCTGGGCCACATTGGTGGGAGACAAGCACTCTCACCACTGTGCCATCCCTTGCTCCCCAAGATCAGCTCTATAGAAACATGTTTTGGCCTTTTAAAGGTGTGAGAAGGACTACCCAGGGGGGTATTCCAGATTTCAAGTGACAGGGATGATCGAATGGGGGAAAAAATCAAAACTCAAAAAGAGCCTTGGACCAAAATTTAACCCCCAAAAATCCCAAGCTGAATTTCCTAGCCATAAAAATTTTTAGAGAGCATTAAAATGATATAACACAAAAATAGAAACATTAGTTTTAAATACCCCCAAAAATCCGTACTTAAATCAAGCCACCCAAAAAAATTGCAAAATCCAAAATTTCAAACCCGAAACTCTTCAATCATCCCTGTCACTTGAAATCCGGAGTACCCCCCTGGGGAGGACTATTCCTGGAAATTATGGACAATTTTTTTTTGCTCCAGAAAACAGTACGGCTGTATGGAAATCTTACTACCATGGTGGATCTGTTTTGATAAATATTATAAACTTACTGTTAAAATTCATGCATACCTGCACAAAACTAAAAATTCGTTGGGATCTTGGTGCACTCTTTTCTTCCAGTTTTGAATAATGTCCTTGCTTATTTTACTCTGGTGCACATCAGAAAAGCTTTTCAGTAACAAGACGCCAGACTCTTCGAATGTCTCTCTGATTGCACATATTCGAAAGGCAACTTCACTTGGAATGTCTGTGGTTGACTTCTTTAGCACAGGAGGGCGAGGTCCTTGTATATTAACAAGAGTAGTAAAGTCTGTACCAAACTTGGCAAATGATTGCTTAAACAGTTCCATCCAGTCATTTGAAAAGTCAGCATGTTTCTCAATCAAACCACCAGGGAATACATACATACTAGGCTGATTTTTAAAGTTAAAACAAGAAACAGTAGTAAATAAAGCTATTGAATCAGGAAATTTTCAAAGCTGTCGACTAAACTGATATACAATGTCATTTACCTACCATAAAAGCACTCTTGTCAGCTCTTTTAAGTAACAAAATCCTGTAGTCGAAGTGACTGTTAGGTTTACTGTTTCGAGCTACTATAATCAAAGTAGCAGCATCTCGTATAACGGTTTTAGCAGCGTTCATAATTTGTTCTCTGTTTTGAAGCTTGCCGACATGTTGGATTTTACTGGCCAGGTCACTAAGCTATGAGCACTGAAAGTCTCACAACAATGGCTAGACTACGAGCAGTCTCTCTTTTTTCTGTAGTCCGTCGAGCAAAACGCGAGACACGCAAATGGCCACGCGCGAGACTGATGGCGCGGGATGGGAGAGGCACGAAAAGAACACCAATGTGTTTGGTAAACTGTTCAGCTTCGATTGAGTATCCGATGATCCGATCGACATTAAACTTGTAAAGATAAAACTCGCCATGACGATGTTGAATCCTTCTTTAACAATTTCGTAATCTGAGCTATCCTGAAACGTGAGCTCTGTCAAATGAAGTATTAAAAAAAAACACCTTGGTTAAATTAAAATCCCGGGTAAACTGGGACTTGGAATGTGTATACATGGCACTCCATAAGGTCAGGATCGCGGACTCCGTTTCGGCGGGAACAGCGTAGAAATCAGTGCTGGTATCAAGAATTGCTTCTTTAGCCATGTTTGCGATAAAGTGAATAAAACCGTTAAGAACTTTTAAAGAATCGTATGCAAATTCGCGTCCTATGTTAATTTGCGCAACATTCAGTCTTTCATCTACCACGCCTTTACGTACACCTATTGTGTAGGCTAGGCATAAGAGAGCACGTTTCATAGTCAGTTAGCATTCAGTCTTTGAGTGAATATACGCGTTGCTGCTGTTACGTTACGCCAAGATGGAAACACTTCAAGAATTATAAGCGCTGAAAGCTGTTCCTTTCCCCGGAAAACAAGCGAAGATGTTTCTGCCACCACATCATCCCATTGCCAAAAAACTCCAAGCATTGGATTATCAGCAGATGAGGAATAAATTCCGACAGGAACATCGAGTGAAGTTCGCAGTCTAAACAATGGCGGACGTCGGATGCAAGATCAGAAGCACGTGCAGCACTAAATTACTAGTAAATTGAAACTCCTAGTTTATTTGTATAGCGGGTACGGATCTCGGTTAAATTCTGACCTATATTCTCAACCAGCAGCGAAAGCGCAAGCTTCTAGGTTTCTGAGTCATTCAGACAGGTATAGGATACTGGTCAGGTTGCAACTTGCAAAGCTTTTTATATGTTATTAAAAATATATTTAATATGAAAAGTCCGCCGATTTTTGTTAAACGGTGGAAACCGGTCCGGGGGGGGGGGTACTCGATATATCCCTGGGTGGGGACGTGCGGCGCGGCCCCTCATACCCTGACCCTGTTTAAGACAAATATCGCTGATTTTCCTACCCTGTTTAAGACAGAATTCCGATTTTTGATACCCTGTTTAAGACATTTATCCTTTTTAAGACAAAAATTGATAAATCGATACCCTGATTAAGACAAAAAATGATAAATTCGATACCCTGTTTAAGACAAAAATCCCGAAAAACATACCCTGGCTGGCCGCACGTCCCCATTAAGCCCTTATAAGGGAGTATCCCCCCGGGAAACCGGTGTGGATCGATCTGCGCCTGTTTTGATTGGCCGGGTTTAAATTTTAAGCATGTCAACTCCCTTCAATTATCCTTTTTGGAGTTGGGTAAAGTGTATCGAAGTGTACACCTTCAATGCTAAAAAGCCTCATCTTTTATTAATTACCTGGAACTTATTCTTTTTGGACTAGTTCTACATGATGCAGTTCCTTTCATCCTTTTTCCTTTTATTCTGATAGCTTCATTGAAGACAGTCTAGAATCACTTTTAAGGAAATGACAAATGTCAACTTCCAGCAATGCTCTATTGTAAAAAGTCACCCATTTTAAAGGCAGTTTTTTTAAATACACATTTTCTAATTCTACTGTATTAATGAAAAAAGAACGACTGGACTTGCCGCTGTACATTGNGGGTCACGGCCAAAAAAAACCGGATTTTTCCCAACAGAAAAGCCCCCCCTACCCCCCCAAAACCGTGAGGAAAAATTTTAATTGTTTAAAACAAATTGTTAACCTCCTTTCAAAGGTTTTCTCCCCCCCGCCCCCCCCCCCCCCCCACCACCCCCAGAATGGCTGCCCAGAGCGAAAGAGAGCGGGGCAAATACAGTTGTGTAGGAGAGGACCGGGAAAGAAGTTTTTGGCAGACGTTGACAACTTCTCAAATTTGAAAACGAGAAGATAAAAACCGTCCAAAGTAATTCTGATGGATGAAACTAACATACAGCTACAGTGGAAACCCTCTCTCCGGACACCCGTATATAACTGACAGTTTCGTTCAGGGATCCCGACTGAAATATCATTTTATCTAAAGCCGTTTGATATAAGGACAACCGGACAATACGAACGGGTATGGCACGTCCCATTGTTGTCCGTATTAACCGGGGGTTCCACTTAGTTTCTTATTTTGTACTGGCACATCAAGAGCCATCAACGTCAAGAAAAGGGAGATCTCGATTACGGCGATTACAACGTTGTAAAATTGGAGGGTAATTTTAGTATGGTAAATAAAGCTTCACCTAATTGCTTCTCCAGCCATGATATAAAAAGTTAAAGTTAATCTTAAATTGTTAGGAGCAACATGTTTTTTTTTTTTAATTTTGGGGAAATGAACAATTTTTGTCATTATTTCACGCATTTATCTCGAAAACATTATTTCACGCGCTGTTCCATCCTTTACTTATTTATTCTCATTGTGACGGTGTCAATTATAATTATTAATATCATCATCATCATCATCATCATCATCAACATTATGGCGCATGCTTGACGGCAGATATGGCACGGTAACCCTACCATCACAAAATGATGACGCGGCTAGACAAGTCGTCCTTTCTTGCTGAGCCAACTTTTTTCTTCACATGTAAACAGTTCGCCACGTTTTGTAAGAAAATATATAAAAAGTTGGTTCGCCTAGGATAGCTCGGGTAGGCGGGTGACCTTTCTACCCGGGACAACTTCCTCCATATCAACATAGCCTTAGAAAGACATTTTTTGACCATAATGCATTATGCATGTTTGTATAACTGTACATCAGAGCTCCCATTTCCCATTATACACATGATTGCGTTACATATTTCTCACTGTTCCTTTCCATGATTAGTCCTGTATCTCACCCAGTGTAGTTAAGTCATCAAAATGTCCGAAACGTAGCTACGATTATATACATTAATCATAGCAGAAACTACCCTTTTTAAGAGACGGAGCTGACGCACTTCTTTTCAATCGTGTTTTGTGAGAACAAAGCTGTAGGTGACCTTGCCCTGAGGATAACTCAGTGGCTAAATCACAAGAAGCTGATCTTGTTAGAATGACAGAGTTTTCGACTTTTCGGATCTGCACGACATCTTTCACTGAACCAGACGAACCTTGTCGTCGGATTGATCGCACTGCATTACCCACGGGAAACCGCTTTGCCTTTGGTTTTCTGATCCTCAAAATCTCGAGCACTGCGATCCTAAAGAGACGGTCTCTATAGCAGTAAATTAACGGACTAGCTAGTGAATTTAAGTACACCAGTGTCTCGACTACCCGCCATGCCAAAAGTCCACGAAAGACTTGGAAATAGTCTCCCAAAATAAAGACAACCGTCATTGGAATAAAGGAAATAACCAGGGCGACAGTTACCGAAGCCATCGTCATAGCAACTCTGTTTTCCAGTTTCGCTTTTAATAACACGCTGACTTGCGTAATTTGACTTACCGTATTTATTCGATTAACCGCCCTGGGCGCTTATTAAATTGTTGGACCTTGAGAGTGGGCGCTTATTCGAGGTGGGCGTTTATTCAAGGCTGGGCGCTTATTAAATTCTTACCATTCTCAGCAAGTGTAGTAGAATATTTTGCAACCAAACAGTAAATGGTACCAACAAAAAGTGAAGACGTAGCAAAGCAAGGTTTCTGTAAAATACTCTGAAGAAAACTCCGTCTTCGGGAGGGTCTCTTATTATCTCTTATTGGAGTTATTGTGGGAGGGAGTGGGGTGTGGTGGGCGCTTATTCGAAGCTGGGCGCTTATTAACTTTTTCTGCCTTTAGCATGGGCGCTTATTCGAGGTGGGCGCTAATTCGAGGTAGGGCGCTTATTCGAATAAATACAGTAATTTACGTTTTCGAACTGAAAGGTACACCATGACGTAAAAAAATATAATGGCTATTAGCAAACAAAGTATCAAAATAGATGAAATTATGTCCAAGATCTCTGCAGCTAAAAGAAACCCATCCCCTCCTACCACCGTCATTGAAATGAAGACTGAAGATACGCCTCCTATGGATAATACCCAAGCTATCAACGCCAACATTTTCAAGCGGCCTTTGGTCACTATCACTTTGTAATCCATCCATTTTCGAATGGCAATGTATCTCTCCCATGCGATCATTGTCAAATGCAAAAACGAGCAAAAATACAGAATGTATGAAAACAAAAATATTACCAAGTCAAACGTACAAAATTGCCGCTCAGTCAGTATTCGATGGGGAAGTAACAGTCCAATTATAGCAGATAGAGGCATACTAATACCACCTGCTAGAAGGTCCGAAACAGCCATACTTCTTAACAAGATTTTGGAAGGTCTCTGTAGTTCTCTCCTCTTCGTAATTGTTATAATTACTAATAGGTTCAAAAGAAATGCAGTGGGAGAGAGAACAGAGTAAACAGCAGTAAAAATCCAAGGAGAAGTAGTGTCATGTACGTCCCACATTAAACCTTGAGAATGTAAGCAATCAAACACTGACCGGTTCATGTTTGACATAGCGGACTGTTATTTATGAAACCTCGCTTGGTTCTAGTTTCTGAGACTCGCGGCGTTATGAAGCCTGAGTAGCTCACCCAACTTTATGCTAAGTTCAAACGGATGTGAAAAAGACCTTTTCTAAAATTTGCTTTTGAAAACAGCAAGTATTTACATGAAAACTAAAGCAAGTTGCGACACGGAGAATTTTCTCACAAGTACTCAAGGTGTATAGTACAGGAAAACTATACCGAGCTTTTTAAAGCGTATGTAACAGGAATTTTTTTTAACTGATTTTGGTCTTTAGGAGGAAATTAACGATTCTGAACTCTTAAAATGTGTCTCTTTTTTCCCCTTTAGAAACTGTCCCATAGCCAGGGGGCAACTCAGTAAAGGATCAAAGAAAGGCTGAGGATTTCTTGTAACTTTAATTGATATTCTCAGCCTTGCTTCCGATTCTGATTATTGCTTTTTGTTTGTGGAATCAAGCGATTTATATGACTGTTGAAAAACGAAAGTACAGTGGAAATATTGAACGGCCAACCTCAAGAGACTGGCAAAAATTTTTTGCTGAAGGGAGGTTTCGTTATATCGAGGTTTTGTTTCATTTATTTTACTATTACTTGGGCAAAGAAAATCGTTCCTTTTTACCGAGTACATCGTTATATAGAGGCTAGTTATATCCAGGTTATATATATTTAATTCACTGGACGAAAAAATGGATTTGCTTCAAATTTGCATCATTTTTGCGCTGAGCAAATTTGAAGCAAATCCATTTTTTCGTGAGAAGAAACTGATGAAGATTCCAAAGATGAGCGGGGGTGTCAATTTGGCCGCGAGAGTGGGGCGAACATTTTTAAAGGCAAATCTGCTTGTTTTGAAGACGAAAATAAAAAAGTTTTTCCAGATTTTTGACGAGTGTAAGGTTTCGGACGCATATTTTACTCATATTTAAGATTAAAAACGTCAAAAAATGGTGTCATACACACATTAATAGCAATGCACAAATCTGATTCTTTGTTTCTTTATACCCCCATACGTTAAAAATCCATGAAAATAATAGAGAGATTCAAAATGATGTTTATGGCAAACGGTAAACAAAATGCTCCCGGAGTTCGTTCGCTAAGATTAGTATCCTAGGGAGCTCTCCCAGGTTTCTGAACTTTTCTAACAGTAAGAACATTATCTCGCCTTATTTAGTTGCCTTTCACATATCTGGATGGATGGCTTTACGAAATCGCACCAAAAAATACAAAACTTCCCCGAAAATCCTCTTCTAGTTTGATTTTCTGCCTTATGGGGCGCCACAAAACCTGCCTTTTGGCCCTAGACTCGATTACCAGCCGCTGTCCGCACTCACCCCCTCCCCCTGCCGCCGCAAAAGAGCGGCCGTCTTTCTTTGGGGAGGATTAAGGACTGGACCCAGGAGACGGCAAAAATCGAGTCTATTTTGGCCCTGCTCTCTCAAATGGCTGCAAATTTTGTTAGATTCGTTTTCAAAAACGGCTAGATGTACATCAGGCTATTTATAGTAATTAATTTGTCCAAAACCGCCGAGCAAACATATGTGTTTAGAGGTATTAAATCAGTCCAGCCGTGGAAAATGACAGCTGGTTGCACTATAACAGACATTTCAGACAGTGAAAAAGCACTTAAACTCTGCTGTTAGAGCGGTTTTCATTTGAGTGTCGAAAAGTAATTGGTTTTGCACTTTCTACACGATGCGATTGGCTTAAAAGATTCGCGCCACCTTTTCATCCAATCAGAAGTAAAACCAAAGCCAATTGTGACGCGCTCGCATGCATTTTCCCGCGCTTTGCGTCAGCCACATGTAATTACTTCGAGTTTTGATTGGTTCAATGTATTGTCTGTGTCCTATGTGATTGGCCAGAGTAATTACTTTGGTTTTGGTTTTACGACACTGAAACGAAAACCACTCTAAAATGGTTATCATAAAACTGGAAGACAATTTTGTAATAAAGGCATTGTTTGAAGTTTGAAGTTTATTAATTGATAAATACATAGCAGTTCGAAAACTGAATTGCGTATTACGTTACAAAAATTAAATTATAGATCTAAACATTAACTAATCTATCTTAATTAAAAGGAATAAAAAAGCTAACAAGAGATGAGATGTGAAAATGAATTAATCAGCATGTCACAAGCGTGGGACAAAGAAAAAATCTGAGTCCCCGACAGAATTCGAACCTACTACCTCCTTAACACCGGGGGGGCGCTTTATCCATTTGAGCTACGGAGAACTTATGGAGAGCGAGGCCATATACTGCGAGGATCAGCAATTTCGATGTCGTACTGTGTGGTGAAAGAATGAAAGATGGTAAATTTTAAGCTCGGTGAAACAAAATTATGTGAAAATTGAATTAATCAGCATGTCACGGGCGTGGGACAAGAAAAAAAAGAACGAAAAAAAGTTATCGAAATCAACACCCCGAAATGTAGTCTGAAGAACTGCAATCTTCGATTTTTAACAATTGACAACTTTTGGCAAAAGAAAACGTGCCGTTTTGTTTTTGACTGCCTTAATGGAACTACATGTTTCCCATTTAGGAATTATTTTCAACGTTTTCACCATAATTCAAAAAAACAATGGGAAAGCAGCAAAACTACCCAAGGTGAAACTGGATTTTGCGCACTGTAGTTTTTATTTCTTAGGTGGCTCGCATTTTAATTCACTGCCATTAAGTTTAAGAAACACTAATTACGAAAGCCCTGCACGATTTAACTTAGTGCATGTTTGCTTTTTATACACCTGTTTCAATTAAGGTTACTTCGGTGAAGAATGGTGCATGGCCCATGTTTCTTAACCCGCGGTGCATTATGGGAGTAAGTCCAGTAAAATATGTGCCCGCGACGAGCCTAGAAACCTAGAAAGCAAACGCTACTGACGCTTCAATGCTATTTCCGCAGAACGTTACGACAATATATTTCAAAACACTGAATCCTAGGTTTTTTGGGACAGCGATTTGAGGTTAGGTTTTGCTCTGTGGCAATACACAAATGTTGCAAATTTTCAACGAGTTTGCTTGGCTCGTGTAGGTGGGAATTTCGGACGGAGTTAAGAAAAAAAATCAAGGCATTTTTTGAACTACGATAAATAACTTAAAATTACGCGTTGATTTATTTTTGAGTCAATTTTTTATAACTGAATAAATAACAATTATTCATCGAAGTGGAGGTGGTTAGTATTGAGTATTTAACAAGGCCGCGAAGCGGCGAGGTAAATATCCACTACTAGCCACCGACACTGAGGTGAATTATTGTTTTAGTATATACTAAAACTGTGAGATGATTGAGCACAAAAATGATGATTTTTAACTCATTTACTGTTGCCAACGATTACAATTTTGCGCGCGATGATAGAACGGCCGCGGTCGTCGCTTTTTCATTGGCGACAAATAAAACTTTTGAGGGCGTTTGTTTAGCTCTTGCGGGGAAGTTTCTTCAAAACAAGTTGTGAATTCTTTTTGTATTTAAAATCATTCTTTAAAAAAGATTATTAAATTTAGTTTTAAGCTTATTTATGAACAAGTCAACTTAATAAAGTAACGCAAGACTTAACCTTAATTTGCATTTGTAAACAAAACACGGGCACCCAACGAGAATATAGTTCAAAACCACTTAAACATAGCATTGTTAAACGTATTTTAGTATTTAAAAGGTAGATATAGGCATATTTTTATCTCCTAAAAGTTTTTCATCTGTTCGGATTTCCTAGCTGAAAGTCTAGTGATCCGAAAGTTATAGGGATCAAAACTTACCCTTTCGAAAATTTCAGCCAGAAAAAAGGCTCCCGAAAATTTTAGGTGACCCTTTTAGGGTAAAAATCCGTTAACAACGGGCAGTTATACG